AGTCACACCGTTTAGTAAGGCAGTGATGCAAGATACATCCCACCCTAATCCTGCCTTGTTAACATAACAGACAACTCACTCCCAAGTGGGACCATAACCACAGGCATAGAGGCTAGGATTTACAACACATCATAAAATAGAGGATAATTAGATCACAAAATGGAGGACAATTACACCAGACCACAAAATGGAGAATGACTACATCATTACATAACTGCAGATTACATCATTACATAACTGCCAAACCACTGAAAATGATAACCCAGCCAAGCTGACACACAATCTTAACCATCACAGGTTTCATACACATTATTTGCATTAGCAAAAAGCTGTCCAATCCCCTTGGTGGGCAACAAGCACCTATTTGCATAGTCCTACACAATGATTGTGTGGGAGTCACAAAGACTATGCCTAGAAAGGCCATATTGAGTAATTCACTGCACCACAATTGCACAACATGATTAACGTAATGGGTGCCACTGAACTGTATGTGTAAAAAATGTTTACTTGGCAAATGTGCTATTACAAAAAAAAAAAAAATAAGTGGGGAATAATCCCTACGGTTGCTATAAGGACCAGTGATACACTGAACACAGACCTGGCCAATGATTGTTTACTTTTGCCTGGTTTTCGAACCTTTATAAGGAAATGGAAGCACATTTGTATGTGTGGTTAACTGCAATGGACTTAATTTTAATGCTGTATTAATGTTCCATTCAATAAAGATACCACAATTTATCCAGTCACCTGTGGGTGGACATTTTCTTTTTTCTTTCTTTTTTTTAAACTAAAGTTTTAATTTCAGAATAATTCTAGATTTGTAGGAAAGTTGCAAAGATACTGCACAGAGTTCTTGTAAATTTCTCACCTAGTTTCCCCTAATGCTTCTTGTTGTTGCTGTTGAGTCAATTTAGACTCATGGCGACCCCATGCGTGCAGAGTAGAACTACTTCCTAGAGCTTTCAAGGCTGTGACCTTTTAGAAGCAGAAGATAAGGCCTGTCTTCCAAGGCACCTCTGGTTGGGTTTAAACTGCCAACTTTTGGCTAGTAGTTGAGTGCTTAACCGTTTGCACCACCCAGGGACTCTTTCCCTAATGTTAACATCTCATATTACCATGATATATTTGTTGAAACTAAGAAACCAACATTGTTGTTGTGGTTAAGTGTGGTACAGTCAGTTCTGACTCACAGCAACCGTATGACTCTATGTGACAGAGTAGAACAGCCCCATAGTTTCCTAGGCTATAATCTTTACGGAAGCAGGTCACCAGGTCTTTCTACTGGAGCGCTGATGATGGGTTTGAACCGCCAACCTTTTGGTTAGCAGCCAAGCACTTAACCTTTTGCGCCACCAGGGTTCCTAAGAAACCATCAGTGATACATTGCTATTAACTAAATTCCAGACTTTATTGAGGTTTCACTAGTTTTTCCACTAATGTCCTTTTTCTGTTGCAGGATCCAATCCAAGACTTTCTTTCTTCCTTTTTTTTTTTCCTTTCTCTTAAAAACACAGTTGCTTATGACTATAATTGGGTACATCTGGGGCATACAGGCAAGAGTTTCTGTAGACTCAACCCCTGGGTGTGGGATTTGCAGGGACATGGGGCATGTTAAAAAAAAATCTTCAATTTTATTCTCTCAGGCAAAAATTGCACTGCAATGTGCCTGTACCAATTTTACCTGTTACCACTACAGCATGAGTTTCCCCTGCTCCACCTGATTTAAAAAAAAAAAGAAAATTTAAATTTGGCCAAACGGGTGGGTGTGCCATGGTCTCTGTGGTTTTGATTTGCATTCCCTTGTTATATGTTTCCTCATGTATGAAGCACCTCCTCATATCTTTTATTCATTTTTCTGTGGGGTTGTTTCATCAATTTGCAAAACTTTTGAAAAGAATTCTGACTGCTAATCTTTTATGTGGAGCTCTGGTGGCAGGGTGGTTAAGAGCTATGGCTGCTAACCAAAAAGGTTGGCAGTTCGAATCTACCAGCCATTCCTTGGAAACTCTATGGGGCAGTTCTACTCTGTCCTACTGGGTTGCTATGAGTGATCTTTTACATGAGTTATGTGTTCCAAGTATCGTCTGTCTCCATTTATCGAGTGTTCAATGTTTATCAAAGGACAGAAAGTGTCTACACTACTTGCTTCAGGATCCTAAGTCATGCTCTTTAACTCTCATCTGGTGGCCAGGGTCCTTGTTTCCTCCATCAAGGGGATGGATTACCCAGCAGACAATATTTTTCAATGTTTGCTAGATCAATGAAGACTCCCTATTAAATTATTTCTAGGTTTTTAATTTCTGCCTTAGCATGACCCAAAGTTCCTGGGTGGTGCAAATGGTTATCATCCTTGCTGCTAACTGAAAGGTTGGTGTTTGAGTCCATTCAGAAGAAAGGCCTGGTAATCTACTTCTGAAAACTCAGCCATTGAAAACCCTATGGAGCACAGTTGTACGACACACAGGGGTTGCTGTGAGTCAGAATCGACTCAATGACAGCTGGTTTTAGCATGACCTACAAGGCCGTACAAGACTGGAGAAGTCGCTGATGGGTTCAAACTGCCAACCCTTGGGTTAGCAGCCAAGTGCTTAACCACTGTGCCATCAGGGCTTCTCCTGTAAAGATTACAGCCTAGAAAACCCTATGGGGCAGTTCTACTGTCACATGGGGTCGCTATGAGTCAGAATTGACTCAATGGCACCCAACAACAATTTACATACCATAAAAGTCACCTATTACAGGTGTACAATTCAATGATTTTTTTTTGGTAAATTTACCAAGTCGTGCAACCATCACCATGATTGTTTGAGAACATTTCCATCACCTCAGTAAGATCCCTCATGTGGTTTACAGTTAATCCCATTTCCAACTCCCCAACCAAAGCCGTTGCCATCAAGTATGATTCCGACCTACAGTGGCCCTATAGAACAGAGTAAAACTACCCCATAGGGTTTCCAAGGAGTGGCTGGTGGATTCGAACTGCCAATCTTTTGGTTAGCAGTCCAGCTCTGTAACCACTGCACCACCAGGGCTTCCCCAACCCCAAGCAACCACTAAACTACTTTGGGTCTCAATACATGTCCAGCCTTCAATTCTTCTTAGCCTTCCTTCTTGTAAAGAATAAATCCCCCTTCTAAATTGTTGGAGGGTTCAAACTCCTGGACCAGTCAGCTCCCCCAGGCCACGACTCTTTCCTATTTCTGTGTCTCCCACAACACAGTTCAGCACAGAACTGCGCCCACGAGACTCAGTGTCTGACAAAAGAAGAGGACCAGGTCAGGTTCCTTTTTGTGGGTTTCAAGCCCATCAACTCCCTGAAGGGCGTATCTTTGTGTCTGCTGCCCCCTGCCACACCGTCCTCAGGAACACGCAGGATGCATGACTGGGCACCATGACCCCGTAATGGCGTTTTCTGGTCTGCTTCCCCCTTGCAGGCTCGCAGTGATCCATTTACAGCCCACACGCTGCGCCCAACCACTGAGTTCTAACGCTGCCCTCAAGTAACCGACAGAGCCACTAGCCTCCCGGCACGCCTGTATTCAGGGGCCGTCCGAGCCCAGCACCTCCCCCTCCCCACATCCCCTTCCCCGCCTCCGCCTCCCGTCTCTTAGGCCCTCAACCGCCGGCCTCCCAAAATGGCGACCAACCGCCTCCTTTCCCGCCCGCCGCGGGTCACCTGACCGCGACAAGCTCCGCCCCCGC